CGGGGAGCTTCCCATTTGTTCTGTACTGTCCGTGAAAGGGTGAAAAGGCCAAAATCCCATATTGCCTCTAGCTGAGCCACAACTGCAGGACATGTTCCATTATGGTTCAGGTTAAACAACATTCAGTGTTGAAAGTGTTTTTGACTGTTGTAGGGCAAAGGCTCAAAAACAGCCACAAAACGAGACAAAGGTCAAACATCCTCAGCTAATAGGATAGATTGCATTTCCATTCGAAAGGGGGGGGAAATTCAGAGGGGGATCTATGAATAAATCTAAAATTTGTCAGGGGTGGACAAATTAATATGGAATGCAGGGGCCAGTTTGCCCTATCCAGAAACCAGCAGGAATTCTTATAAGGAACCAGCTCCATTGACAACAACTTGAGAAAACCTCAAAAAGTTAGGTGCCGACTGTCATTTTTAATGCACACTGCCTACCTCAGGGGTGTGTAACTCCAGCCCTCCAGCTGATGTGGAACTACAAGTCCCATGATGCTTTGAAAGACTGACCGTTATAGGCATGACTCCCAAAGGCAGAAGCATGTTGGGATTGGTCGTTAAACCACAGCTGGAGGGCGTGAATGGCCCACCCCTGGCCTATCTAGCTCCTGCGATTTCTCCAGATATATCAAGAGAAATACCAAGAGCCAGATAGGCCAGGGGTGGGCAGCTCCAGCCCTCCAGCTGTGGTTTAACTATATATAGAATCCACCAGCACTCAGCACTTGGAGCTAGCTCTTATCAGTCAAGTTAAATATAACATTGCTGTGCCATCCAGGCTGCTGAAGCTGGCCACACATCGGTAGATTATCAAACAAAATTACATATAAAGAAAAAATTAAAAACCTCCCTAAAACATTCGATGATGCCATCAGAGACGTATCGAATGTCATTGGAAATTCCGTTTGATTTTAACATTTGACTTTGGAAATGAATGGAGTTTTCCCAAAAGAATTCCACTTCCAAAATTTGCATCCTGTTCCTTCACTTTTTCTCATCAATGCCGCCAAGATAGTTTGTCGATTTCACCCCGTTATCTATCAGAAAATCAAACGAACATTCGTAGGACATGTCAGTGGGGATTTCCTGGGTCTAGGTACGGCAATTGGTACCCAGACTGAGATGACACATTAACTCTACGCCCCCGGGGGGACACGCACGCTGCACGGTGATTCATTCTGAACCGAGAAGGCTGCTGGAAATTCTGCAGTGAGCAGGACATGGAAATGACTCATTCCTTTCAGGGGATAAATACAAGACGCTCGTAACTTGCAGAAATAGGAAAGAAGCGCCTCATGATGCAATTCCCACAAAGTGGGGGGAAGGACTGCAAATTACAATTACCCTAAACCGGGCCAAAAAAAAAAGGCTAATTACCCCAGAGGCCTGTGACTGCCATTTACTGAAACAGAATATTGATTCATAGTCTCCAGGGATTCATAAAAGAACAGAATTTGGGTGCCGTTCAATAATCCATCATAATGAGAAACAAAGCGCAATGGCAAACAGATATTAGTCTACAGGGGTTAAGCTTTGATAATGAAAGGGAGAAGCCGATTGGTTGCCATGAGCAACTTCTCCAGTTTTGATTAATTCCCTTCCTTCTGTTTTGGGAAATGCTGTGCATCACTTCTGGCAGACAAAAATGACTAATTTAAAACACAACTCCACCTTCTGGAGCGTGTTCGATGCTTCAGCCATATTTAGCCTGAAACATGGGTTGCATTTGCCAACACTCCACCCTCACTTACCTGAATCACAGGGTACGTCTCCCTGCAGCACCCTATTTTGTACTTTTTTTTAATGCAGTGCGGATGAGTGGTCACGGCAAAGGGATCTGTGATTGGGAACGCTACAAGTCCCTGTGCCACAGTGGCAGATGGGATTTGCACCCTTCCCACTCACAAATGCCTGTGCTGGGCGCTACATTCAAATAAAATCCAAAGGTTGTGCCGGCACAAGTGCAGCGACACCCTGCTGCTGCACTTGTAGTCCATTGTTTCCACCAGATCCGTAAAAGGTAGCGTCGCACAGACCTGGAGGTAAATGATACAGGGGGCTGTGCATTGAACCCATGATGCCCCGACCACCAGAAGCAATGCCCCGACCACAGTTGCGATGCGCTTCAATCACGGTCGCAATGCTATGTCCACCGTTGCAATACTCCGCAGACCTGCATGTAAAAATGAATACATGCACATTTTTTCCCCCATTTGCCGTTTTTAAAAGGTGGACTATACCTTTAAGAGATTACCAGCAAGCATTTTAGCACAATGTGCAAAGTTCAATAAGGATTGATATGGAGAGAATGAGCCGCTGATCTCATATTAAATGTTTGCTGGGTACAGAGCTACAATGTTCTGTTAAGAGGTGCCATGACTACATCAGAACACATATAGTGTACACACCTTCTGCATCCCTGAGGTA